CTGCTGCTGCTGGTGGTGGTGATGGGGGGTGGGAAACTGCCCCATGCTCATCCGATGCGCAGGGTGGTGGTGAAGCCCGCCGGATCCGTCGGGGAATCGCCCGTGGTTCATGGCCATCATGTGGTCTGCCATCGCCCACCTGGAAAGTTAGCGTGTGAATACATTAAGAAAATGCACCCTCGGACATCCAGCCGCCCTCTCCCGGACCGGCGGCATCTGCCCGGCCCTGGGAGGAACGACTTCGCCGGTCCCGCCGTCCTCCCGTTCTCGGGGTGGTAGCGGGGGGGAAGGAATAAATCGATCTCCTACCGCGGCTCCACCGTGGAGTACAAAGGGAAAAAATAAAAGGGGAGCCTGCGGTACGAAAATCCCCGTCCCCTCCGTTAATCCGGCGAGCAACACGCCTTCCCACCCCAACTTGTGCATACCTATCAGCGGCAAGTGTGGCACACGGCGACAGCCGCCTCCTCCCCGCGCGTTCAAAAGGCGCCCGAGCCCCCCGGCTTCGCCAGGGAAGGCAGCGGATTTCCACGGCGCTCTCGCTAACTTGCGGGGAACAAGCAAAGAATCGGGAAGTCCCACCTAGCCGCTGTCAGCAACTTTTGGAATTAAGTCCCAATTATTTTGGTAAAAACACAGTACTGCACAGATAAGGAGGTCAAGCCAGGCAGCTGAGAAATACCTTTCCTCGCGTGTTTAAACAGTCCCCTTTTTCCTGTTGCACACAAAAGGGACACCCGGCACCAGCTAAGAGAACGGCCGCACTCACCTCCCGGCTTCTTTCTTCTTTTGCTTCAAAGGTGGCGGTGAAATCAGTCAGTAAAAGTCACCCAGCATAGAGAGGGCTTCCCCGGCTCTCTCCTCGGCGCTTACGTGACGGTGCTGCGATCGCTGCAGCAGCCCCGGAGCTGTTTTTCACTCCTCGGCGAGGCTCATCGGCACTTGCCAACAATGAGCTGTGTTTCTTACCCAGCTTTGGCCACAGCTAATATAGGATTTCAGAAGGGAGGAGCAAAACCCTTACAGGCAACCAGAAGTAAAACCTGGAGCAAGCGAGGGGAAAAAA